GTCATGCATGTATTGGGGTTGTAGGAAGCAGTGGGGGGGTGCAGTTTTTGCAATGTGGTTGGGGGGCAGCAATCACTGGGGGTGTAGGCTGCAATTAGGGTGTCATGCAGTTATTGGGGCGTGGTTTGTGGTTGGGGGTCTTTATTTCATTTGGGGGGTCAGCAGTTACTGGGGGTGTAGATGCAGTGGTGGGGGGGGTTGTGCAGTTTTTGAGGTGTAGTATGCAATTGGGGGTCTTGCATTCATTTGGGGGTCACAGTAAATCTAAATTGCCTGGAATGTGGGGTCCCTGCGGATCTCTCGGGGGAGGAGGGGGGGCGGTACTTTCGGGGTGGTGTCTTATCTGCTGTGGATGGGATCGTCGTGTTCTGTATCTGTAATGTACAATCCGATCTGTGAATGGAGCCGAGAGGTGTGATGGCTGCAATATATATACACGGGGGGGGGGGGGGTGTATAGGAGGGGGTGTAGAAAAGGGGGGGTGTATAGGAGGGGGGTATATAGGAAGGGGGGTGTAGAAAAGGGGGGGTATATAGGAAGGGGGGTATATAGGAAGGGGGGTGTAGAAAAGGGGGGTATATAGGAAGGGGGGTGTAGAAAAGGGGGGTATATAGGAAGGGGGGTATATAGGAAAAGGGGGGGTATATAGGAAGGGGGGTGTAGAAAAGGGGGGTATATATAGGAAGGGGGGGTGTAGAAAAGGGGGGTATATAGGAAGGGGGGTGTAGAATAGGGGGGGTATATAGGAAGGGGGGTGTAGAAAAGGGGGGTATATAGCAGCCTGGCTCATCTGTCATGATGTACTGCCTCCTCGTAGGTCTATCGGTGGGATGGTGCGGTGGGGGGGGGGGATGGTGCGGTGGGGGGGGATGAGGCGGTGAGGACGGGCTCCGGCTCCTCTGCATTGGCTCTGGGCGGATGATGTCATTCTTCTGTGAAGCTTGAATGGCAATTGGAATCCTCTGCTGATCTTCATTCACAAACTGTATTGATGGATCACTTTTGCCTGCCTTTCACTGAGCGCTTGCTGCTTCCTCTGAGGCTTTCTGGCGCCGATGATCCCGGGAAGTGGGAAGTGATATCTCGGCTCTGGAGCTGCCCGTCCTAAAGAGAAGTCATCGGATTGGGAGTACTGAGATCTCTACAGACTCGTCCTGCCCCCGGTATGCCGCACTCATGTACCATCTCCTGGCTGCAGTTGTTTGCAGGATGCGTGTGTGGTCGTGTGTGTGCGGTCGCAGCGTGTCGTGTGTGGTCGCAGGTCGCAGCGTGTCGTGTGTGCGTGGTCGCAGCGTGTCGTGTGTGCGGTCGCAGCGTGTCGTGTAGTGTCGCAGCGTGTGTGTGCGGGTCGCAGCGTGTCGGTGCGCGCAGCGTGTCGTGTCGTGTGTCGTGCGGTCGCAGCGTGTCGTGTCGTGTGTGCGGTCGCAGCACATTGTCAGGTTGCTTCTAATGCAGCGTGGTGTGTAGGGATGGGGGGGACTCTGCAGGTTCTTTGGTCTTCAACTTCATTCCATCGGGGCTCCCCCGGGGCCGTATTGGGATTCTTATGGGGTCTACAAGAGGGAAGGACTCTGAGACAGTTGGGACGGCGGGGGTAGATGGGGCAGGTAGATGGGGGGGGGGGGGGAGGTAGATGGGGGGGGGGGGGGGGTAGGGGGGGGAGGTAGATGGGGGCGGGGGGAGGTAGATGGGGGGGGGGGGGGGCGGTAGATGGGGGGGGGGGGGCGGTAGATGGGGGCGGGGGGCGGAGGTAGATGGGGCGGGGGGCGGCGCGGGAGGTAGATGGGGGGGGCGGAGGTAGATGGGGCATCATTGGAGGATGTAGACTATGGGGCTTGTACCAGGAATAACCTAATGACCTCCTTGTGTTCCTGAATCTCTAGTCCTAAAAAGAAAGCTCCCATGAACCAGCTCCAGATGGTCCTCGTTGGGTGCGCAGCGCCTCCGCCCTGCCTCCGCCCTGCCTCCGCCCTGCCTCCGCCCTGCCTCCGCCCTGCCTCCGCCCTGCCTCCAGACATTTCAGAGTTTTCCCTCCATATATCTGATCATTCAACAAACTGGAATCAAAGGGTTGAGATTGGTGGAGTTGGGCTTGAAAGGCTAACAAATCAGGATATGCTTTATGAAAAATGGAGGCCAAGTGCTTAATGTTGGTGCCTTGTAGGGCCCTCGGTGCCTTGTAGCGCCCTCCATGCCGTTCTCACCTGGAAAGCTGCCTGCATGGAGTTTGTACATTCCCCCTACTATTGAGCTTCCGCCAGGTGCTCCTGTACCTTTGACGACCCCGTAGGGCTGGCTCTCTAACATGCTGTTTTCGCACTGTGTGGCCCTTGGCTTATGGGTTTCTTTGAGTCCAGGGAGTGATGGGTTGGAAAGCGCTCCGGAATATGTTGGTGCCATATGAATAGGTGCTGCATTGCAGAGATTCTCCTGTAGGGCTTCAATGGAGATGTAAGTGTCACTCTTCACCTGGGGTAACCCTCATGGTCACAGCAGCTTTTCTGCAGGGTGATTCTCAAGGTGATCATTGTGGTAGCGAAGTGTATGGTGGTCCTCTTGTGTTGGGGTCCTGGTCCCGGCAGAAAGGTGGTCAGTATGGAAGTGAACGGTTTGGCAGTCTCCTTCAGTGCTATGGCGTTAGTCCTGGTTGGATGGTGGTTGGTATGGGGGTGAAGTGCTGTCCAGTGCTTGGTGGTCTTCTTGCAGTATTGGGTTCCTGGCAGGATGGTGGTCCATATGGGGGTGAAGTGCTTGGTGGTCTTCTTGCAGTATTGGGTTCCTGGCAGGATGGTGGTCCATATGGGGGTGAAGTGCTTGGTGGTCTTCTTGCAGTATTGGGTTCCTGGCAGGATGGTGGTTCATATGGGGGTGAAGTGCTTGGTGGCCTTCTTGCAGTATTGGGTTCCTGGCAGGATGGTGGTTCATATGGGGGTGAAGTGCTTGGTGGTCTGGTGGTCTTCTTGCAGTATTGGGTTCCTGGCAGGATGGTGATCCATATGGGGGTGAAGTGCTTGGTGGTGGTCTTGTAGTACTGGGGGTGGTCCTGGTAGGAAGATGGTCAGTATGGAAGTGAAGCGGTTGGTTTTCTCTTGCAGTATTGGGTTCCTGGCAGGAAGGTGGTCCTTATGGGAGCGAGGTCTTGGTGGTCTCTTGCAGTGCCGGGGATTCTCTTTAGATGGACTTTTCCACACAATCCAGAAACATTTATTAATTCCTTGCCACAAAATCTGCTCCTGAACGTGTCCTGTGGTTGGCACAATAGATTGTAAGCTCCTTTGGGAGGGAATGGTTGGTGAAGAGCTTTTTTCCATGCTAAAAAAAACAGCCGAAGCATCAGATGTGCAGGACCTACGCTAGATCATCGGGAACCCACAGTCAGCATTCTAGAACTCGGAACTGTGGAAGGTTCTCTGCTGCCCGGAACCTGTCTGATGGATCTAGAAGATACACCGGGAGTCCTGCTGGTGTCATGGAATCTCCATTGCTGGAGGTGTTTGATTGGCTGTTGGTTTTTGCTGTTTGCTGACGGTCCTGATAAGGCGTCTGACAACAATGGAGCCGCATAGTTTCCACTCGTCATTTACATCATCCTTTGTGGAATTGTTTGTTTTATGAGATCGATTCTCCATTGTCCCCTCATACACTGAAGATTGAATGTCTTGTTTGCTCTAGGTATGAGTGTGCGGGTCCGGGCTCCTTCGGGGTCCGGGCTCCTTCGGGGTCCGGGCTCCTTCGGGGTCCGGGCTCCTTCGGGGTCCGGGCTCCTTCGGGGTCCGGGCTCCTTCGGGGTCCGGGCTCCTTCGGGGCCCGGGCTCCTTCGGGGCCCGGGCTCCTTCGGGGCCCGGGCTCCTTCGGGGCCCGGGCTCCTTCGGGGTGCGGGTCCGCGCGGAGTCAGGGCTCCACGTAGTATATGGACCGTTCACATCCAACCCTTCTCAGTCATCGTCGTTACAAGGTCCCAGACCAGGAATACATCCAGTTAGGGAGGTGGTCAGTACGGGAGTGAAGTGGTTGGTGGTCTTCTCTTGCAGTATTGGGGTCCTGGCAGGTTGATCACTATGGTAGCATGTTCTTGGTGGTCTCTTGTATTGCTGGGTTCCTGGTCTGCTCTCACCAAGAACATTCTGGACCCTTGCATTCCCTTTCATTGGACTTTTTCCCACACAATCCAGGAAGGCAGAGTGACCTCTTGTCCACATACTCCAACCTGTGAGTGGGCACTGATTCTGATCTATGGAGGTGGGTGGCCCCTGGGTGGAGGGGAGGGCGGCCCTGGTGGCCCGGGTGGAGGGCGGCCCTGGTGGCCCGGGTGGAGGGCGGCCCTGGTGGCCCGGGTGGAGGGCGGCCCCCTGGTGGAGGGTGGTCCTGGTGGCCCGGGTGGAGGGTGGTCCGGGTGGAGGGTGGTCATCAGTTGTAGTGACTCTACATCACCCATCCTGGCTGTGGAGGTCTCCAGTATTCATACCGGTGACCATCATCCAGACCATTCTTGGAATGTCACCTTCACCGAGTCTTCCTCCTAGAACAGACTGAGGGTTAGAACTGCAGGAAGGGGCATCTCCCCCCCCCCCCCCCTCCCCCCATGGGGCAAATCGTGGCACGGACAGAATGTGTGGAAACGATCGACCTTCCACTTGTAGAAATTGTAACTTCTGTAATTGTTGATCAGGATAACGCGACTTTGGAAATAGCAAGCTGCGTTTTTTTTTTGGCTGGAATTTTGCATTCTAGTCGGTCCTTTCCCCCCGATGTGCCTCGGGAAGCAGTTTCACCTTGGTGGGACTGAGGGGGAGGGGGCTGAGTCACCTTGGTGGGACTGGGGGAGGGGCCATGACCCCTTGGTGGGACTGAGGGAGGAGTTCTGTATTGATGATTTTCTCTTTCTTGCAGCACTGATTACCTTCGATCAGCTGGATGGGGGGGGACACCTTGGTGGGACTGAGGGGGAGGGGCCAGTTCGACTGGGTGGGACTGAGGGAGGAGTTCTGTATTGATTATGATTTTCTCTTTCTTGCAGCACTGATTACCTTCGATCAGCTGAGATGACTGAGGTAATAATGAATACTCAGCCCATGGATGAGATGGGACTCAGCCCCCGCAAAGACTCCTATCAGGTAGGTGGGCGGCGCTCCCCTGTGGTGGTGTATGGAAGGGAGTGACCTTCGCTGGCCTCCTTGGTCAGTTGACTTGAAGGACCAAAGGTCTGCTCAGCAGAGTAACAGTGGCCCCAGCTCCGTCCCATGACCAGGCTTAGGGGGGGGGGGGGGGTGTCAGGCACTTTAGGTGGACGCATTCTTTGCCTGGATCTGAATGGACCGACCCATCCAGCCTCTCCTCCACCCCGCCATCTGAGTCATGACTTGGAGTAGACTCCTCCCCACCATGCACCTGGTACGGCGCCCATTGTTCCTTATGAAGAGTGCTGACCAGCACCCCGACCATGCACCTGGTATTGGCGTTCCCGAACCCCGGATTGTCGGACTTATGAATGTGTCTGGCCCAGGGTCATGTGTCACCCCGAATCCCCCATCTGTCACCCCAACCCCGATCTGTCATGTGTCTGGCCGACACCCGAACCCCGGATCTGTCATGTGTCTGGCCGAACCCCGGATCTGTCATGTGTCTGGCCGAACCCCGGATCTGTCATGTCTGGCCGGATCTGTCATGTCTGGCCGATGTCTGGCTGGCCGAACCCCGGATCTGTCATGTGTCTGGCCGAACCCCGGATCTGTCAACCCCGTGTCTGTCTGGCCGAACCCCGGATCTGTCATGTGTCTGGCCGAACCCCGGATCTGTCATGTCTGGCCGAACCCCGGATCTGTCATGTCTGGCCGAACCCCGGATCTGTCATGTCTGGCCGAACCCCGGATCTGTCATGTGTCTGGCCGAACCCCGGATCTGTCATGTGTCTGGCCGAACCCCGGATCTGTCATGTGTCTGTCTGGCCGAACCCCGGATCTGTCATGTGTCTGGCCGAACCCCGGATCTGTCATGTGTCTGGCCGAACCCCGGATCTGTCATGTCTGGCCGAACCCCGGATCTGTCATGTGTCTGGCCGCCGAACCCCGGATCTGTCATGTGTCTGGCCGAACCCCGGATCTCTCGTGTCTGGCCGAACCCCGGGCAGGCTGGTTCCAGGTCAGTGATGGGAGCTGCAAAGTCGGGGTGACAATCTGGGGCCAAGTACCTTTTTGGTTTCTAAGGTTCCCTTAGTTTTCTCTGACACAGGATCACTGTAATCTCATGCCTTTCTGTGCAACCTCCCTCTCATGCTGTATCATTAGGGAGAGGGCGGAGCCAGAACAGGGAACACCCATTCCTGTGATCCCTCAGGTCCGGGGTCTCCGGGAATGAAGGAGTCAGAGTACAGGGTGTGATTGGATGGCGGCTCGGGGTGAATGGCGGGAGATGAGGTTTCTTAGCTCCGTGTCCTTGGATTTGGTATTTACTGGTCTGCGCCTTTAAATCCAAATCTGTGATGGTGATTGGTGGATGAGAACGGCTTCCCTTCTATTTCACTGGCGGGTGTATTCTAGAATGGGCGACGATGGGGAGGGGGGGTGTTATGGGGTCAGGCCCAGTGGTGTGGGGGGGTGCTGAAGGTCAAGTGCAGTGGTGACAATGGGGGGGGGGGGGGGGGGAGTGTGCATGCATGGGTGTGGCAGGGGGTGTATGAGAGTTCGGTGACAGTGGGGGAGTACAAGCAAGGTTATGGTTGTGGGGGTCTTCTGTGGTGGTGATAGAATGGGGGGGTGTAGACATGGTAATGGTCATGCAGGTGTGGTGGGGGGATGGGGGTTCAGGTGTTCTGGAATGTGTAGGCATGGTGGGGAGGGTGGAGGTCAGCGAGGAACCATGCAGTGATAGGTGTGGTGGGGGGGTTCAGGTGTGGTGGGGGGATGGGGGGTTGTGTGTGCTGGAATGTATAGGCATGCTTGTGGGGGAGGCTTGGTGGGGAGATTGGAGATCAATGGAGGAAGGATGCAAATGTCATACAGATATAGGGGGGTCAGATGTGGCAGTGACAGCGGGTAGGATATGCCGGCAAGGTCACGTTGGGGGGGGGGGAGGGTCTTGTGTGGTGGTAGTATGGGTGTGCAGACGTGGCTGTGGTGGAGAGATCGGTCTGGTGGTGGAATGTGACGGCATTATGGGAGAGTTGGGTGATTTGGAGAAGATGGAGATCCGTGAGGAACCATGCAGTCATGTACAGATATGGGGGGCAGTGGTGGTCAGGTGTGGTTGTGGTAGTATAGGTGTGCAGATGTGGCTGTGGTGGAGAGATCGGTCTGGTCTGGTGGTGAAGGTGGTGGAATGTGACGGCATTATGGGAGAGTTGGGTGTGATGGAGATCCGTGAGGAACCATGCAGTCATGTACAGATATGGGGGGCAGTGGTGGTCAGGTGTGGTTGTTGTAGTATGGGTGTGCAGACGTGGCTGTGGTGGAGAGATCGGTCTGGTCTGGTGGTGGAATGTGATGGCATTATGGGAGAGTTGGGTGTGATGGAGATCCGTGAGGAACCATGCAGTCATGTACAGATATGGGGGGCAGTGGTGGTCAGGTGTGGTTGTGGTAGTATAGGTGTGCAGATGTGGCTGTGGTGGAGAGATCGGTCTGGTCTGGTGGTGAAGGTGGTGGGAATGTGACGGCATTATGGGAGAGTTGGGTGGTGATGGAGATCCGTGAGGAACCATGCAGTCATGTACAGATATGGGGGGCGGTGGTGGTCAGGTGTGGTTGTGGTAGTATGGGTGTGCAGACGTGGCTGTGGTGGAGAGATCGGTCTGGTCTGGTGGTGAAGGTGGCGGAATGTGATGGCATTATGGGAGAGTTGGGTGTGATGGAGATCCGTGAGGAACCATGCAGTCATGTACAGATGGGGGGGGTGGTGGTCAGGTGTGGTTGTTGTAGTATAGGTGTGCAGACGTGGCTGTGGTGGAGAGATCGGTCTGGTGGTGAAGGTGGTGGAATGTGATGGCATTTGGGAGAGTTGGGTGGTTTGGAGAAGATGGAGATCCGTGAGGAACCATGCAGTCATGTACAGACATGGGGGGGGGGGTGGTGGTGACAGCGGGAGTGTGCAGGTTGGGTCATGGTGCTGGGAATGGAGATCCGGTGGTGGTGACAGTAGAGTAACACAGGCATAGTGGGGGGGGGGGGGGTTGGTGTGAAGGTATAGTGGCCTACGGGTGTTCAGCTGTGGTGGAGGGAGGACATGTTGACACAGTGGTGGGAACAAGGGGAGCTCCCCATTTTGATTGGTAGAGAAGACGGCTCGCCCTTTCATTTTTCTGCGGAGAACTTTGTTTTCTCAGTCTCTGGCAGACAATAGAAGTGCGTTGTTCTGGAACGGAGCAGTAAAATTCCATACGTCCCGTTCCTGCTATACAGATGCTACATTTGGCGGTGGCTGACTGACGCGTTGACGTGATGACGTTCGGCAGTCATGTGCGCAGTGTAATGGACTTTATAGCGCTGTAAGCCGGAGCAGATCAGCCGGCTGTGACTAAGCCGCTAAAACGTCAGATTTATCTGTAAATAAAACACACGCAGATGCTGCGTCCGTACAAACGAAGGTGGAGGAGGTGGATGGTGCGGCCAATCAGGATCGGGCTGCCATTGTCCTTGTGCTGGGGGGGGGGCAGGAAGGCTACAATTTCTGTTTGAAGGTGAGAAGTTGTTGCTTATCACACCCAGATATTTCCCTTAATTCCTTCATCCGTGATTGGAGAGTCTGGGTGCTGCGGGCAGTTGGCTCCAGTATGGGGTATTATTATTATTATTATTATTATACAGTATTTATAAAGCCCCAATAGTTGGCTCAGCGCTGTACATTACAGAGGGGGACAGAACATGTACAGAACAATACCAATACAATGTGATACATGAGGGGATCGAGGGCCCTGATCCTTGGAGCTTACAATCTAGGAGGGAGGGGATGGTGGCACAGGAGGAGATAGCTGTGGGGGATGGGGGTGGTAGGAAGAGTGGGGGAGATTGGCAATTAGCAGGGGGTGGGGTAGGCTTCCCTGAAGAGATGGGTTTTCAGGGTGCGCCTAAAGGAGGAGGAGAGTAGGTGATAATCTGATGGGTTTGGGGTAGGGAGTTCGAGGATGGGTGACGTCCTGGAGGCGGGCATGGGAGGAGGAGACCAGGGAACTAGAGAGGAGGTCTTGTGAGGAGCGGAGAGTGTTGGGCGGTACTTGGGTATTAGGTCAGTGATGTAGTTCGGGGCAGTATGGTGGACGGCTTTGTATGTCAGTGTTAGGATTTTTAATTTGATCCGTTGGGCAATCAGAAGCCAGTGGAGGGATTGGCAGAGAGGGGTGGAGGACACTGAATGGAGGTCAGTGGAGGGATTGGCAGAGGGGGGTGGAGGGACACTGAATGGAGGTCAGTGGAGGGATTGGCAGAGGGGGTGGAGGTTACTGAATGGAGGCCAGTGAAGGGATTGGCAGAGGGGGAGTGGAGGTCAGGGAGGGGATTGGCAGAGGGGGGTGGAGGTCAGTGGAGGGATTGGCAGAGGGGGGTGGAGGACACTGAATGGAGGCCAGTGAGGGATTGGCAGAGGGGGGTGGAGGACACTGGTCCAGTGGAGGGATTGGCAGAGGGGGGTGGAGGACACTGAATGGAGGCCAGTGGATTGGCAGAGGGGGGCAGAGGTCAGTGGAGGGATTGGAGGGGGGTGGAGGACACTGAATGGAGGCCAGTGGAGGGATTGGCAGAGGGGGGTGGAGGACACTGAATGGAGGCCAGTGGAGGGATTGGCAGAGGGGGGTGGAGGACACTGAATGGAGGCCAGTGGAGGGATTGGCAGAGGGGGGTGGCGGAGATGGAGCGGTTGGAAAGGTGGATGAGTCTGCCAGCCGTATTCAGGATGGACTGAAGCGGGGATAGCCTGTGGCGAGGCAGGCCGGTGAGGAGGGAGTTGCAGTAGTCGAGTCGTGATATGATGAGGGAGTGGATGAGCTTCTTAGTGGTTTAATGGGTCATTGGTGAAGCACGAGTGGCAATGGGGGGGCAGCCTCTAAAGTGAACCATCGCCTTGACCAAATGGACAAAGGACATGTTTGCAAAGCCTGAAACAATCTTTCTATGGTCAGATCGATCTG